CTGTTTTCCATAGTGGCTGCACCAGTTTGCACTCCCACCAGCAGTGTGTGAGAGTTCCCTTCTCTCCACATCCTCTCCAACACATGTTGTTTCCTAAGCAGGAAATATTAAAAACTGAATTTTAAAGGTCATATTTTTAATGTTTTGTAAAGAAAAAGTTGATCTTGCAAAATATTGAAAAAAATTATCTTATCAATTCTGCCCAAATATTCAGAGACAAACAGAGCTCTGCAATCCTTCATCTTCCAAAGACCAGAAGGGTGGCAGAGATGGCTTTTTGCAGTTTTTCCTGGTGCAGGACTCTAGGATTTGGTTTGTTAGAGAGTACTCAAGTAGAAAATATACAGTGTGCATTACTGGTTCATTCTGTGGAGCAATTTCAATAGCTACTATAAAGATGCCTGACTATAACTTGGAATCAAAACCTTTAGTCCAAAAAAAAATTGCTGCTCCTTTAAGTATGTGATTCATAGGACAAATGTGTTTTATTTTGATTAAAAAAAATATTTCCACTGCATAAATTGCTCACGAATAACTAGGAATTAAAAACTTGTCAGTGGGTAAAGTGTTACAAAATACATAAATATTGGAGAAAAAGTATCAAACTGTTGCACAAATAAGTTATTTTGATACTGAAAGGGAACTTTTTGGATAATCTTTAAACAAGCATCTTACGTACTACCAATGGGATCACAAATTGTCAAAGCCTTTTAGAGACAATTTGACATTTGTACACAAATCTTCGGAGAAAGGTTAACCTCATTTGATGTGGCAGTTCTCCTCTCGTCTTAATGAGGTAACCAGGGGTGCACGTGATGACCCGTGTCCAGAGTCTTCAGTGCAGTGACATTTACATGATGAGCATTGGAAAGGATTGGTGGTGTTGATTTGGTATCTCCATAGAAAAAATAATAAGAAAAAATAATAACCCATCACTAAAAATGATATTTTAGAAGAATATTTAATGACAATATTCCAGTTGCAACTCTGCTACAGTCTGGAAATTCTTTACCATCATTTGCTATTTTATTATTTTATTACTATTTTTTTTTGTGAGGAAGATCAGCCCTGAGCTAACATCTGCCAATCCTCCTCTTTTTGCTGAGGAAGACTGGCCCTGGGCTAACATCCGTGCCCATCTTCCTCCACTTTATATGGGACGCCACCACAGCATGGCTCGCCAAGCGGTGCGTTGGTGCGTGCCCGGGATCCGAACTGGCGAACCCCAGGCCTCCGCAGCGGAGCGCACGCACCCAACCGCTTGTGCCACCGGGTCAGCCCTGCATTTTTATTATTTTAGATAAATATGCTCTTGACTTATATCTTTTCCAGACCTTAAATTTTATAGTGCTCCAATAACAATAGCATGACACTCCTTTCCTTCATTCCTCCACGGGTCTGTTAAAAGTCCTTATCTCTCAGCTCCACCCTCTGTCCTCTCCTGTGCAATGCAGAGGCTGGAACCCTGCAAGCCACACCCTTGCTTTGCCATCTGCTCCCTATTAGGCTCTCCCAAGACAGACACTGTGGGGACTATAGCCTGGGGGAGAAGGTGGGCTTGTTACTTCCTTTCTACCTTCTCTTTGATTCCCGTGGACCTCTTGTCCCTGAGAGAATCACCTTGAAACACATCTACTACTTTCCCAGCAGTAGCTGTTCCTTCCTACAACAGTGGTTGAATTTAGTTTTCCATTTTTTCATCACCAGCAGTTGGTGCTCTTTTTCTGACCTCAGGGGTCCCACGCGAAGGGTGCTCCACCAAGCTTCTAAGTTGTGGTAATCCCAACCTCTTCCCTTTGTCCCCCAGCCAGAGGGTTGTGGCTGCTTCCTGCAGTTAAGACCTCCACAGTTTGTTAGTGCATTTCTGTTGCATCTCCAGTTAGCTACCTAACAACTCACATGATGATTCTTTATATTGAAATCTCTGTTCGCGTAACTGCTGTGGTTTCTATTTTCTGATGGAACTTGATGCAGCTGGTGAATTGTCTCTCTTTTTTAACCTTTGATAGAGGATTTCGTGTTGGCCTGACATTATCTTAGATTTGTATTGTCAGCACAAATAACCCAAAACTAATATATAAATCAAAATTAGGGTGAGTTTCTTATGAGCCAAGTTTGAGGATGTGGGAGATCAAAATTGGCCACCCCAAAAATGTGTCTCTTTACCTTGATTATTTTCTCTGACGGACATTTGACCTCCCCCAAACCGCCTAAAGAATTTAACATAGAAGAGCTGTTTCAGGAAGGAGTTACTACCATATGATGGCTGTAGTATAATGTAAAATCGATGTTATAATAGGGAAGGCACCAAGCCCATCTTATCAAAAATTCTGTCTCTCCCCAGCCACGTTCTCCAGGTGGCCCTGAAAAGTGTTGTCTGACAAACATTTGCATTTCCATCTCCATGTGAATTTTCTTCTTCCCCTCTGAAATCCCAAACTGCTACCCCCCCACACCTTCCGCACCTTTAAGCTAAAAAAATACTTACATCAGCAGCTTAATCAGAATGACGAGTTGCTCATTTCTCTTTCTGAGTTTCTCCCATGTATATATGTTATTAAGCATTGTTTGATTTTCTCCTGCTAACCTACCTTTTTAATTATTTGGCTAGCCATAAGAACCTTAAGGGAAAGGGCAGAGGGGCATTCTCCCTCTTCCTTAACAAGGACTATAGCCCAGGGCCTTCCTTCCCCAAGAATGGAAGGACACCAAAGAAGTGGGGTGTACAAAGTCGTTATAAACTGTCTTGGAACAAAGAGCATACATCACATATGACCGGAATATCTCTTTTATTACTGTCACAAGATGCTTAGCTTGTGGCCAGTGGTCAGCAGGTCAGTGGTCACAAGATGAGCAGAGCAGGTAAGTAATTAATCCTTAGTTTCCAGGGAAGAGATGCTTATCCTTAAAGAAATGCCAATAGGGAGAGAAGTTACACTTCCATCTTTAAGGGCATCATTCTTGTCTTTGGGATATAGTAAATGTTTAAAGAAGATGCACAATGCATGCTCAACAGGCCACATCAGGCCCTTTTGGAAAAACAATGTCAGGCCGAATTAGTTTTAAACCAAATGGCTTTCTCATATACTCCAATATATCCCATTGCTTTTCATTTATTTATTAGTATCTATGACTTATCCTCCCTCCCTACTGGTCAAGGGTAACAAAACTTATGCCTGGTGGTCCCATCAGCATTGCTTAGAAGAACCCCGTGCAATAATACTTTGTGGATTTCTGATAGGATCTGCCCTCTGCAGGCCTTTAACAATAAGGAGGAGCTTCCTGCTCTGCCCACTATGGGTGAAGCAGCCTTGACTACAGATACTGGGCTCTGTTTCATCGGATAAGGTCCCTGTCATTAATGGCACCCAAAGTGCCCCTTTAACTACTACCTAAAAATTCATATCAAAAGGATTTTTTGGGAATAATTGATGCCTCTTGGTGGCTTAGACTGCCACAATTTCTGAAAGCATAGACTCATCTATTGATCCAAAAATGCAGAGATAGATGATGAGAGATCTGGAGAGAAGTGTGGATATATACACTACACATCCCTAAACGTGAATATATCAGCACAGCTATTTGCAAAATATTCGTATTATCATGCACACAAAATCATGGTTAATTCTTGAGGCGACTGTATACTCCCCTCCCTAGGAATGGGTGGGTGTCCTGGTAAGTCCCGTCTGTGAGGCAAGCACTCTGCTGTCACCCGATTTCTAGCCCTCTCTGCCACCCCATCTTGTGTCCTCTAGTCTTTCCTACATCCCACATAATCCATGATGAGTCGTGTTAATGGTTGACTTTCTTAAACCAAAGCCGTTGTATTAACAGCTGATAATTCTTTCTGTCAGCAATTAGTAGATCTCATAATTTTAAGGAAATATATAATCAGTTTCACGTTGGTAACATTGGCCTACACACACACAGGTCACAGGACAGGGGGTTTCTTCCTGCCAATCACATTGCTCCTGTATTCACTCACACATGGCACTAAGAGCTTATTTTCTCCACGTTATCTTGTGCTAAGGCAATCTCAGAAATTTTTTCTGATTCATCAAAAGTCCCCATAACTCTCTGACTGCCCGCTGGTTCTTCTTGTTAGCATTTCCTATGGAAGTCGCATGTGAGAATTTTGCTATTTTAACTGCATCAGATTTACTTATATGTGTCTGTTATACCTGCATATACTAGAATCTCAAAAAACTATTTTCCTTCAGAATTTGAGCTTTTTGAAATCAATGCCTAAATTTATGATTCCTTAGTGTTTCAACTTCATATGTACATAGAAGTGTGACAAGTTATGTTGAGATGTCTTTCATTTCCCAGAGGTTTAGAGCTAATAGGGACTTTATGGATCCTTCTATCTAAGACGTACATGATTAGAGGAAGTTTAGGGATATTTCCAAAACTGCATACCAGAAGATTCTTCTCTTTCCTAGGCAGGGGCTATTCTATCACTTGGGATGATAAGAACTTTCTAGTGCAACAGAAGATCCACATGACTCTCTAACATTTTCTTGGGAAATCAGTGGGTCTTTCTCTTGACTAAGTCATCTGTCAAACTGCCTCTCTAAGAAATGTCATTCATTGGCTCCATTTAAATAAGAGGCACAATGCTGGATTATATTATGTTGGCCTATGTCTACTTTTTAAAAAATAAGTTTTCTGTGTTTCTTAACAGAGCAATGCTACAAGAGAATCTGTTTCCCTGGTAGTTGAATTATAAATACTGAGATCTGGCAACCCCTGAGTGAGCCACCATTCAAACATGATGTTTCAAAGACAAACAGAACCACCCTTTGCAGGAGTAGGGTAAAGTCTAGTTTAAGTCTGCTTGAGATGTTCTTAGCCTGAAACTTAAGCTAGTGTACTTTCCTGTGGGTTTTTATTTCTAAATGGAAGTCTCTCCTGGCACTATTCAAGGCATTGTTAGCTTTTCTACTCCACTCTTGAGTATGCACCTACTCAGTCCTGGGCCCTTTAGTCATCACACAGAGGCTGGCATCTCCATCAGGGTTTCCTGGGATGGGCTGCAGCCTGCAGGCATCATCCGCCCTTCAAACTTTAAATGCTAGTGACCTGCAAAATATGCAAATAGAAACCTAAGAAGATATTACCAACAATGTTTGAAAGTTGAGCAATGAAATTCTAAATAATTTCTGGGTCAAAGAAGACATCTCCATGGCAATTAGAAAATATTTTGAACTAAATACAATTTAAAATGACATATATAAAACTTGTGGGATGTACCCAAAGCTGTGCTTAGGAGGAAATTTATAGCATTAAACGCATATATTAGAAAGAAGAAAGACTGAAAATTTATGTTCCAAGTATCTATACCAAGAAGTGAGAAAAATAATAGCAAATTAAATTCAAAGAAAATAGAAAAAAGAAAATGGTCAAAAAGTGGATAGAAATGAACAAAATAGGAAAAAATATAAAAATGGAATTGACAAAATGAAGAGTTGCTTTGAGAAGAACAAAATATTACTAAACCCCTGTCAACATTAGTAAAATGAAGAAGGGATAAGCTGTAATGGTTAATTTTATGTGTCAACTTGGCTCGTCTGCAATGCCCAGATATTAGGGAAAACATGATTCTAGATGTCACTGTAAAGGTATTTTTTAGATGAGATTAACATTTAAATCAGTAGAGGCTGGGTAAATCACATTACCCTCTTTAATGTGGGTGGGCCTCATCCAATTAATTGAAGGCTGAAGAGAAAAGACTGAGATTTCCGGAGGAGGAAAGAGTTCTGCCCCCAGACAGCCTTCTGTCTTCAGACTCAAGATGGCAGCATTAACTCTTCCCTAGGTTTCCACCAATCTGGCCTGCCCTGCAGATTTTGTGCTTGTCAGCCCCCATGATTATATGAGCCAATTCCTTAAAATCTCTCTCTTTCTCTCTCTATAAATATATATCCTACTGGTTCACTTTCTCTGGAGAACCCTGACTAATGCAAGACCCATATTACCAATTTTGGAAATAAAAAAAGAGGAGAACTTCCATTCTGGGAGATTTCACTAGTAAATTCGTCCAAATACATAAGAAAAATATATCACAAATCTTACACAAATTCCTCTAAAGTATAGAGAAAGAGGAAACTTCATCCCAACATTTTTTTAAACAGGCATGCGAACGTTTATGCCAAAAATATGACAATAACATTATAAAAAAGTACATGTGTCTCTCTATTCTGATTATAGGTGAAAAAATCCTAAATTAAATATTAGCAAATCAAATACAGTGAGATATAAAAATAATTGCACAACACCAGCTACCTAGGTTTATCCCAGGAATGCAAGGTTTGTTTTACATTCAAAAACCCATCAACGCTGCCATAACGATAGACATATAGATCAACAGAATAGAACTGAGACTCTAGAAATAAGCCCTTACATTTACAGTCAACTCATTTTGGAGGAACTTGAACCCCTTCCTCACACCGTACACAAAAATTAACTCAAAATGCTTCATAGACCCAAATGTAAGAACTAAAGCCATAAAACTTACAGGAGAAAATACAGGAGCAAATTTTCTTGAACTTGAGTTAGGTGAAGCCTTTTTAAACCTGACAACACCACCAAAAGCAGAAGTGACAAAAGAAAACTAGGTAAGTTGGCATTCTTCCAAATGAATAACTTTTGCACTTCAAAGGGCACTATCAATAAAGAGAAACTACAACCCACAATGGGAGAAAATATTTGCAAATCATGTATCTGATAAGAGACTTATACTAGAATATATAAAGAACACTGGCAACCATAAAAAGACAAGAAGTCCAATTAAAAAATGGGCAAAGGATTTTAGTAGAAATTTCTTCAAAGAAGACATGCAAATGGATAATAAGCACAAGAAAAGATGCTCAGCATTATTAGTCATCAGGGAAATGTAAACCAAAGTACAATGAGATACTTGACACGTACTATGATTGCTATAATCAAAAAGACAGTAATTAACGAGTGTTGGAAAGAATGTGGAGAAATTGAAACACTAGTACATTACTTGTGGGAATGTAAAATGGTGTAGCCCTCTCAGAAAACAGATTGGCAGATCTTTGAAAAGATATACATAGAATTATCATAGGTTCCAGCAATTTGACTTCTAAATATACACCCAAAAGAAATAGAAACAGGAATTTGGATACTTTTTCACCAATGTTCATGGCAACATTACATATTTACAATATCCAAAAGGTGAAAACAACCCAAGTTGCTATCAACAGACGAATGGATAAACAAAATAGGGTACATACATACAGTGGAATATTATTCAACAATAAAAAAGAATGAAGTTCTGACACATGCTACAATGTGGACGAAACTTTGAAAACATTTTCCTGAGTAAAAGAAGCCAGTCACCAAAGACTACCTATTATATGATTTCATTTGTATGAAATGTCCAAAATAGGCAAATCTATAGAGACAGAAACAAAGGAGAAAATGATGCTCAGAGAAGTTAAGTAAGTTGCCTGAGAGCACACAGCGGGCTCGTAGCTGAGCCTGATTGCACCGCAGGTAGGAGAAATGTTCATGTCTGATGCCTTTCTCTAGTGTGGGTGTGTCTGTTTCCTATTGTTACCTTAACAAATCACCACAAGTTGGTGGCTTAAAGCAATACAAATTTATTCTTTTACTGTAGTCCTGTATTCGCAGTTTATTATTTAGTGCTGTAGGTTAGAAGTCTAACATGAGTCTCATTGGGGTTTGAATCATCACTTGACATCATCTATGACATCACTAGTCATAACTCGAGGGCCATAAACTCGGGGTCTGGTACAAATGACCCCACAAAACACAAACTGATGGAGGAGAGGCTCCACAGAGCAGAGTAACAGGAATTTCAGAAAACGGAAGGAATTACGACCTGAAGCGGCATCGGCTGGCCTGGTCTCCCCATGTGCTGGATTGTTTGTGGTTGAGTACAAACAACTTTCCTCAGCTACAAGATGTGCTGTCCTGCCTGGGGGACAGCAAACAACAACCTGCCTAACCTTGCTGAACTAAGTCATGTGGAAGGAACTCCACTTGTATTTGACAAGCTCCAACCACCAGGAGTAGGCTGGGCGCTGTGTGGTTTTGTCCATTTACATCTCATGCTCGTGTCTGTCCACTGAGAAGCTGTGCATGTGGCACTTGTAAATTGGCTAAATTTGGGCTCAGCTCAAGCCCACTGTGTGCTCTCAGGCAACTTGCCTAACTTCTCTGAGCATAGCTTCTCCTTTGTAACATGGAATCCTGACATCTCTGTCTTCTTTTAGAAGTAGCTAGAGTCAAGCAGGTTAATGCTAACATACACCCCTGACGTTCAGTAGATGGATATTCAATAAATATTTAATGAATTGGATCATCTATTTTTTTTTAATTTCTACATGTTAGATACAATCTAATAGGCTTTTCAGACAAAATAAAATAGAAAAAAACTAAAACAGCAATTATATGATTTCACATTGTGAAAGTCTCTAAAGATACTAATAGCCTCACTATTCACTTTTACATGATTCAAGTTGATAGGAGGTTTAAACGTTTTAACCTCTCATGAAAATCTGTGTACTTCAGGGTGTAGAGGCATCCAGCCATGGTTTGAATCATGTTGTTGGACTTAAAGATGGAGGTAAGGGAGACTAACCTAAAAATGTAGGTGGTCTCTAGAAGCTGGAATGTCAAGGAAAAGGATTCTCCCTGGAGCCTCCAGAAAGGAACGCAGCCCTGCTGACACCTTGCTTTTGGCCCAGTGGCATGACCTCTCAACAAAGCCTTTCCTGACACATACTCTTGTACCATGTCTCATCAGCCCTTGGATCATGCTTCCATGGCAGCTTGTGTCATATTTACCACAGTTTACCTGTGTGCCTGAGTCCCTATAGAGGTGACTATCCTGAAGACAACAGCCATGCCTGATCCATCTTGTCTTCTCAGGATCAACCACAAGGACACATGACACAAACTCAGCAAAGGCCGGTGACTGAAATGAGGACATCGTTAAATTCACAGATGGCTCTGGTTTCTAGTTGGCAGCAAAGAAGCCTGGATCACTGTCATTTATTTAAAGTTCTATTTATTCGTCAGTTCAGGATGTGTTTGTACGTCTCTGTCTACACCTTGAGGTGGAGCTGGTCCTGGCTTATTGGTTTGTATGAAATGGCTAAGATTTTATGATCAAAACGTGTGGAATTGTAAGTTATTTGCAAACCCAGTAAAGCTCATTGTTCACTTCTCTAATTTGTGTCTCCTTTATTTTGGCAGAATTTTGGTACGTGATGTTTTTCATTTCTTTTTTTTTTTTTGGTAGAGGATGAACATTTGGGGTAGTCTGTTCTCTTGCTTCTAGATATTCCTCTGGGATAGTATAGGGCAGAAATATGTAAAAACAACAGCACCTTTTGCTTAAGAGTTGTGAAATGTAGAAATCCTCAGAATAGTTGAAGTTTTAGAACATTTTGAATTCCTAAAATTCAGGTCAAGAAAGCTCTTGTCTCTACTTCCACAAAATTACTGAGAAGGTAAAATAAACGACTTGAGGAAGCAGAAAGATGTGCATTTACTAGATGGGATACATTTAATACTTATATTTGCATGGGGCTCATTTCGATTCAAAATGAGTCCTACCCAAGTCTGAAGGGAGAGTAAATGCAGATCTGTCACTTACCAGCTGGATCATGGGAAGCAAATTAGATCATTTCTCTGAGTCTCAGTTCCTGTTTCTATCTGTAAAAAGGAAATCATAAAATTTCAAAACTAGACACAGAATAGCCAACACAGTATTGAAGGGGAAGAACAAAGTTGGAAGACTGGTGCTACCTGACTTCAAGACTTACTGCAAAGCTACAGTAATCAAGACAGTGTGATATTGGTGAGAGAATAGACAAATAGATCAATGAAACAGAATAGAGAGCCCAGAAACAGACCCACATAAATACGGCCAACTGATCTTTGACAAAGGCACAAAGACAATACTATGGAGCAAAGGTAGTCTGTTCAACAAATGGTTCTGGAACAACTGGACATCCACATGGAAAAAAGTGAATCTAGACACAGACGTTACACCCTTCACAAAAATTAACTCAAAATGGAGCATAGACATAAACGTAAAATGCAAACCTATAAAACTCCTAGAAGAAAATCTAGGAGAAAATCTATATGATCTTGGGTTTGGCAATGACTTTTTAGATAAAACACCAAAAGCAGGGTCCATGAAAGAAGGAATTGATAAGATTGATTTCATCAAAATTAAAACTTTATTCTCTGCAAAAAACACTGTCCAGAAAATGAAAAGACAAGTTGCCACAGACTAAGAAAACATGCTTGCAAAAGCTACATCTGATATAGGACCGTTATCTAAAACATACAAAGAACACTTAAAATTTAACAGTAAGAAAACAAACAACATGATCAAGAAATGAACAAAAGTCCTTAACAGACACTTCACCAAAGAAGATATACGACAAGCATATAATAAGCATGTGAAAAGATGCTGCATATCTTATATCATTCGGGAATTGCAAATGGAGACAGCAATGACATACCAGGACACATCTATCAGAATGGCCAAAATCCAGAACACTGACCACACTAAATGCTGGTGAGGCTGTGGAGCAACAAAAACTCTCATTCTTTGCTGGTGGGAATGCAAAATGGTACAGCCACTTTGGAAGACACTTTGGTGGTTTCCTGTAAAACTAAACATCCTCTTACCATATAATCCAACAATCTCACTCCTTGGTATTTACCCAAATGAGTTGAAAACTTATGTCTACACAAAAACCTGCACATGGATATTTATAACAGTTTTATTCATAATTGCAAAAACTTTTGAGCAACCATGTCATGTTTCAATAAGTGGATAGATAAACTGTGGTACATCCAAACAATGGAATATGACTCAGCACTAAAAAGAAATGAACTATCAAGTTACGAGAAGACATGGAGGAACCTTAAATGCATATTACTACGTGAAAGAAGCCAATCTGTAAGGGCTACACACTGTGTGATTCCAACTATATGACATTCTATAAAAGGCAAAATAATGGAGACAGTAATAACGTCAGTGGTTGCCAGGAGTGTAAAGTGGGAAGGATGGATAGGTGGAGTATAGAGGATTTTTAGGGCAGTGAAAATACTCTGTAAGATACTAGAATGGTGGATACATGTCGTTATACATTTGTCCAAACCCATAGAATATATAACACCAAGAACGAACCGTAATGTAGACTATGGACTTTGGGTAATAATGATGTGTCAATATAGGGGGGGTATAACAAATGTACCACTCTGGGGGGGGGGGATGTTGATAATGGGGGAGGCTGTGAGTGTGGGGCAGGAGGTATATGGGATATCTGTACATTCTTCTCAATTTTGCTGTGAACCTAAAACTGTTATAAGAATAAAGTTTATTAAAAAATTATGAAACTAAGAGAGTTGTCCTAAGTACTAAAGGGAACAGAAAGCATTGTATACTGTGACTAGTGGACAGTGTGCTCATTCTCATTGCTAAGGTGCTCGACTGCCGTGGGCTCCAGTCTCCTGCTCACAGACAACGTGGCCTTGGGCAACTCGCTTTCCCTCTCAGTCTTAATATTCTCATCTCTAACATGGACATTATAAGAAATCCACAATTTAGATTTAGAAATAAGCAAAGTGTGTGAAAACCACCCCATGCAACCATAAAACATTAGTAGATTTTATTATTATTATTAACTTTTGTGCTTGGAAGAAAATAGGTACTCAGAGCTACTTATTGGAGTTTTCTCTTTTTTTAATTATCGAAGTCAAGTGCTTTATAATCCAAAGTACTCTATCCTAGATCGTGAAATAATGATTTTTTGAAGGTTATTCAGGGAGTATATAAACTGCCTCTTAGAGTTCTGGAAACAGGGTGAAACTTTTATTTTTGTTTGGTTTAATTTTCCTTTTCTAATGTGACATATAAAACACTCATAGAAATAACTGTACAACCCAACAGATTATTACAAAGTGAACCCATTATTTGACGTCTTTAGTGTTGTGTGGTTTTGTACGATATACAAATGGAATCATGGGGAATGCATTCTTGGGCTCTGCTTGGTTTTTTTTCGGCAGCCTGTTAGTTGTGTACCTTCCCACTGTGGGGGGAGTAGCTCACTCATTGACATTGGTATCTAGAGAGAGCTCCTGTTGAGATTTTAATTTTGATTGTATGAGATCTATAGATCAATTTTGGGCCAACTGACATCTCAATATTGAGTCTTTTAAGCCATGAATCTGATATACGCCTCCATTTATGTAAGTCTTCTTTAATTTTTATCCACAAATTATTTGACTCTTTTTTGGTGTACACTTTACATTTATCATGACATTTATTCCTAGACATTTGATATTTTTGATGCTACTGTAAATGATACCTTTATTTAAATCTCATTTTCAGTTTCTTGATGATACGTAAAAAGAAAACAGATTTTTCTTTACATTGTCCTTACACACAGTGTCCTGGCTTAATCCATTTATTAATTATACTTTACTGCAAACAGCACAAGTTATTTTCTCCTTCCAATGCTTATATTTCCTTTTTCTACCTGTTCCCTCCGTGTTTCTTTTCTCTGTTTTCTTTTGCCTGTGTTGCTGTGCGCTACTTGAACATTATTTAGAATTCCGCTTTGCCGTAACTATAACACTCCTGAGTGTAACTCTTTGAGGAGCTTTTTAAGCGGTTGCTTGAGGTATCAGCGTTCTAGCTACATGACTTATCACAGTGTGCTGCCTCATCATTCGAACAGTTCTAGTCAAGTATAGAAAGCGCCCCTCCCTTTATGTCTCTTCTTTAGATTAAAATTGTCTTAAATATGTCTTCTACAAACACCGAGAACATCAGGCAGTATTATAATTTCTGTTTCAACCATCAAACATAATTTAGAAAATTCAGAAAGAAAAGGAAAGCCTATTTATTTGCCCATTCTTTGCTCTTTCCATTATTCTTTCCTTCTTCCTGATGCTCATTTTTTTAAGCATTTCCTTTCTGTTTAGAGAACTTCCATTAGACCACCCTGCTCGGTGGTCTCTCTCATCTCCCTCGGGGGGGGGGGGTCCAAACTCCCCCCACCCTTCAAGGCCCCAAACCCACCTTCACCCTCTAACGTGTGGGAGGGGCCAGCTTCTCGGTTCACGTGGAAAAGTGAGGTTTGTCAGTGGCCAGTCCCCTCGTCCCTCTTCCCGTTGCACACACACATTTTCTTATACCTCCTTCCTCATTCCCCTCCTCCTCAGTCCCAGTAAATGAAGGACCCCCTCTCCTGACCAAGCAGTGCTGAGAGCCACCAGGACTCCAGACTCCATTCCAGTCCAGGTTTTCTCATGATGCCTCCTGTCAACTTACTTCCTCCTGGAATTGCTCCAGAAGAAATTGTTAGAAACCTGATGTCTACTCTTCTGTAGAACAGAGCCACTCTGAACTCACATGTTGCTTCACAATAGGGGTTCTCAAACCCTGGCACATGTGGCAATGTCTGGAGATATTTGTGGTTGTCATAACTTGGGGGGGAGGGTGCTGCTGGCTTCTAGTGGGTGGAGTTCAGGGTCTGCTGAACTTCTTATTGTGTACAGGACAGCCCCCATGGCCAAGAATCATGAGACCCCAAATGTCACCGTGCTGAGGTTGAGAAGCCTGCTTTAGCAAAACGTAAGACAAAGTCTTATCCTTCATATATTTTTTCTCTTGGCCAACAATGAAGGGAAGAGAAAACAAGTAGAGGAAAGGTGAGGGGCAGTAAGGGGAGAGGGTGAAGGAGAAATTGTGTTCTAGGAGATCTGCGGGGACAGGGTTGGAGAAACCCCTGCAACTGAGTGAGACCATCCTGGGCGCCTCAAATGCTGAGCAGGGTCACAGCTGTGAGGAAAGACCGGAGCGAGTGGGAGGGAAGGGAGACGGCCCTGGAGGCTTCCTGCAGTGGGCAGACAGGGCACGAGGCTCCACCGCTCTCTGCTTAACTGAGTCTGGGAATCGTCTTCACGTGGAATGGGAATCCTGCAGCATCTTGGCTGTGGTTCTGAGGCTTAGACAAGGCAATCAAGAGAAAGGCTTTGTTCAAATGCAAAACCCCATGCATTCATTTGTCAACTTCAGATAGAAAGGAAAGTAGAAGGTGGAAGGAGAATGAAGAAGAATGGTGGCCTGGTGGGAATGGGGGAGGTGAGTATGTGGAAAAATGTGGGAAGCTGATGGGGAAAGAAACTTGAAAAGCTGTCAATTAACAGAATTACAGAAGAAGATGGAGCCTCCCAAGGGAAGGGAGTGAGGGGGCCATGATGGGAGGGACAAGGGAATGTGGGACATAAGGGAAAAGGCCAGGCAGAGGGGGGCACTAGGCTCAGGAGAGAGGGAGGGAAGGAGAGACCTGGAGGCAGAAAGGAGGGAAGAACATGCAGTTAGAGGAGTCAGGGCCCAAGGAAGGGTCTGGAAGTGTGCATGAGGCAGAGGGAGCTGTGTTGGCTGCTCTGGAAAGAGAGTGATGCCATGGACGGTGTTCCCAGTACCCAGTATAAGAAGAGAGGACAAAGAATGCATTGATGAAGAGGGGAGCTGGGAAGGGGCAGGTGGGCAGCCAGGTCTGTGAGTGGGGGGTGTAAGTGGGTGGTTGACAGTGAAAAGGGAATGAGCTCAGGCTTCCTGGCACGGAAGACAAGCTTCCCAGGGGATGAGCTGCCTAAATCAAGTCATTAACAGCTGCAGTGCGAGTCCTGCAGATAGCGTGCCTCTGTCAACTGGATTTCTCATCCATGAGCAATAAATTGTGCCACATCTTTCCATTCCTCTATTTCAGTCTTTCCAGTTAACAACCGTTTGAATGGAAATTCCAAATAAAGGAGTTTTCTCCACCCTTTTTTTTTCCCAAAAGAAAAACATCCAATGACAAATTTTGCATTTTTCTAAAATTTTTAGAGGATTTTTAAAATTCATCTGAAGTGTTGCTGTCTGGACTGTGGAGAGTTTTCCATATCAGATGGTTTTGAAGTGTGTCATTTACTTCTAACACCCTATACTCATTCCTGGGCCTGTGAGATGTTTTATAGGCTCTATTACAACATTTGGGGCAAGAGTGAATGAAACAGTCCCAACGTAGACACTGTTCTAGAAAACTGAAGGACCTAAAAGAAGGCAGAGGTCAGATGGGGGCGCAAAGACGTTCTAGAAACATAAAGCTATTTTCCCAGGAGTCTAGCATTTATCAGAAAGTGCTTGGGAGAGTATCAGTGTGTTTTAAAATGTAAAAGTATTTGGTGCAAAGCTAGAGGTATGGTATAGAAACAGGGATATCTTAATAATATAGGGATAATAATAGGGATATAGTAGGATGATAATGG